ATCACTGACTAGGTAATAGTCCTGACAAAGGAGGCTGCCTTTCTAGTATGGTAATTACATGTGAATACATGTAAATTAATATCCTCCAAGTTGCTGAACTGTGTATTTATCTTGTTTAATTTTCTTTTCAGTTCTTCTGAACACTTTACATAGTCACTGCTGTATGAGTGTCTGGGTGCTCTGTTGCTGAGAACCTTGAACTAGGTAGTGAAGGAACTGGATTAATTCAAGATCATGAAGACTCCATCACAAAATGTATGCCACTTAATCTTGACATGTTACTGTATATACATATAAAACTATATATATATACGTTCATAGTATGATAATAAATGCACTGCAGTGTATTTGGTAAAGGTGCTTAGGTCTTACTGAGATCTCACTGTTATGGTCAATACGTCATCTTTGGTGGGAAGCAAGACATGGCTCCAGTTTTCTGTGAAAACTGTTGAGCTAAGGAAACAGTCAGGTGGAAGTTAGCCATTTGAAAGGCAGAAATAAAGTTCCATGTAATTTCTTTGCCTGTTTTGAAGAGATAACAGTGAATATCATATGTAAGCCAATCCAGAATGTGCTTCTATCAGACAGGAATTAAGTATGACAATTCCTGAACGAAATGCAACCCAAATTCTTGCTCTTTAAGGTCAGACAGCTGTCCAGAGTCCATGTCCTCCTATGGCAGGAGGACACAATAACAGCACAAGGAAGTTATTTCTTCCAAGGCTGTCTTGGTTCTAGAGAAAGCAGGGGAGAATGCTCCTTGTTAAATGAATCTAACATGGGTTACTCCCCCTGATGCACTTGCTCAAGTAAGGGCCTCTTTATGCTCAACAGGAGCACTTTAATGAAGAAGCATCTACTAAATGAAGCAACAACATGACACCCTCACCCTGTCAAACAGGGAAAGGAATCAAGATGAATATCAATAGAAGAGAAGAGAAGGTGTGGGTATGGGAAAAGCACAGAGGGTGAAAAGGAGATGGGAAAAAAGCAAAATGGTCACAACCATAAACCAGGACATGCAGGAATGTATGACCACCCAGCCTGCTTTCTATTGCAAAGCATCTCCAATAAGCAAGCACACAAGCAGCCATCAGTGGCACTATGGTCCACATAAAGCTCTTATTGCAATTGGTCCTCTTATGGATGGGCTGAAGCCTGGAAAGACTCTTGCAGCTCTAATCCTACATGTGCCTTTCAGTTATTTCAGTAAATATCCAGTAACATTAAGACCCTCCTGTATAAGATATCCTACGGTCAGAACACTGCCAAGTTACAAGAAACCTCAACTCTTTTCTACTTCAGGAAAAGGAATATAATATTCAGAATGAACACTGCTGAAAAGAATACAATACTCAGAAAAACAATAGTAACTATAATTTCACCTCTCCATCATGGAGGACACAAAACTGCAGTGTCTTTGCTCATTTGCTTTTCGTCTGTGAGAGATGGGGAAGGAATTAAAGAGGGAATAAAGGCAGAACTGCTACCTTCTGTAAGAGAACACAGAGACAGCTTTGCACTGCCTTGCCAGACCCCATGGGCCCTTACTGGCAGTAGGCAAGGCAACTTCCCCTGGCTTCTAGGGTATTTCACAGGTTGTGAGCAGCTGTCAAAAAGCCCTGATGAAACTGTGCTTTTCAGCTGCCACTACCAGAAATTGGGCTTTCCACTGAGTCATGGAGTCAGGGCAAGCCTCTGGGCTCTCTCTAGGTGAAACTCAGGCAAAAGTTTGGGGAAAGAACCACAGCACACAGACTGGTCCCAAATTTATATAGGTTATGTCTGCCACCATAGGAACAAATGTAATTGTTGTTCCCTCCAAAACAGTTAATGCATGTACATTCTGTCTTGCAGCAGAACTACAGATTTTGGTTATTGTGCATTTGAACCAGGAATCTCTTCTGGAATGTCCAACACTGGGCTAATGAGCCTTTCCCATTACTATCCATGTCCTAGTTCTCTGAGAAGCCTGAGCTAAAATACACTACAGTCAAGTAAGGCATTTGTAAATACCTTTATTATTTGTGTCCAAGGCTTGCATTCTGCTATCATGATTTAGCACCAAGGGTAAAATTAAATCTCTGTGGGACCACATCAAGGGCATGCCATGCCAGTTGCTCATGATGCTCCCAGATGGAGAGCAAGGGAAGCAATACTATACACCTTCTGCTGATTATTAGCACTGAGATGGATGCCAAACACAACAATGTATTTTCCACAAATTCATCTCTGAATAATTAATTTTATGAATTATATAATATATAGTGGGAAAATCTTATGGTTTTTATTTTCAAGATTTAAATGTATTTAAAATTATTATTTTATGTTAACGCTATATGATCACTGTTCATATTAATTGTGATAATAACAGCATTATGTAAACAAAGAAAGAGAAAAATGCTCTAATTTAAATGAAAGCTAGAACCACAGCACACAGACTGGCCCCAAATTTCTATAAGCATGAGGTGAGATGCTGGTTCTAGAATTCAATCATCTTCACTATTCTGAAATAATGGATAATATTTTTATACTGTGCAATGGTATCAAGAAGCAGTCTATGTGCAACTGAGCCTAAATCCTTTTGTTCTGTATTGCCAATACAAAGAAGAAGAGAGAAGAATTAATCTCTGTATAGGAAGAAATGGTTGTATTTAGTCTAAGGACTGACTAACAGAAGAATCACAACAACTTTTGACTATCATGCTAATACATTGTGGCTCAGAAGAATCAGAAGCAGAAGAATGAGAGGACGGGATAAGCAGAATAAGGAATCAACAAGGCAATAGGAAAGTTCCCCTCGTACTTCTGAACTAAGAATGTCTCCCCTGAACCTTCTCTTTCCCAATAAATCCAAACTAATTTAAATTTAAATGAACTTCTACCTAGGCTACTTACAGTACCCTTATTATTCCATTCAACAAAACCATTGTGGTCATAAAAAGAAGCGCTTTTCTTTTTGAGAATTACTGATGTTTTGAAATGCCTTTGATTCTGTATCAGGCAAAACTACTCACCATTTTCTCATAATTTTGAGCACAGTTTTGAGCAAGAAATTTCAAAAAGAAAAATGTTGGTGTTTCCCAGCAAAACAAAGCAGCCAGATGCTCCCGAAAGATTTCCGTTTTAATGGAAACTTAACACAAAATGTACTCAGATAATTAAAAAGAAAATGTGACTGATACTCAATTTAGGTTACACGTTCTACTGCATGCTTTTTAGTATTGTGCATCCTCTAAATGGGTTCTGAAATGAAGCAAAGACCTACAGAGGTCTGTTCAGAAAAATCTCAGCAGTGGCTGCTGCTGGAGGGCTGGGAGGTGGAAGGGAACATTATGCTTTTGGAAGGCATCTTCCTGCAGACAGTGGTACCTCCTTGAATATGTAGGAATGCAACATTCAGGGGATTCCCGGAGTGTTTCAAGCCCTGGACAGTTTGGCATGAGAGGTTGGAAGGGGCATGAGGAGTGCCTCAATGCAATACCACTGGTTTCTAAACTATTTCCATTATTACTTCCAGGAGGAATTCCTCCCCTGCTCAAAAGTGCTCTGTATACAACTTAGATACTCAAGATATGCACTGAGGAAAGGTACATTTTACAGAGATTCACAGGAGAAAAAACAAAAAAAACAAGCTTCACACTAGATCAATGAAACATGTCTTAAAACAACTGGATCCCAGGTAAAGCATTAAAATATACTATAGGGATCAAACACATATTGGGAAGAGAATGGATTATCTTACAGCCTAAACAAAAGCAAGCAACAACAAAATGATTAATTAATAGGCAACTCCTTCTGAAATTTCTCTAGGCAGACTCTTTCCAGGGAAAGTGAAATGATGGGAGAAAGTGGCCATTAGTTGTTAAAAGAAAATCAAAATCTGAAATACCAGCAGTTAATGTCCTATTAAGGTACTTAGAATGCTTTCCTTCTAGAGATTAAATATTTCAGCATGACCGTATCACAACAGAATCAATCCATCTAACAGTCTCTGACTCTGTCCTGGTTTCAGCTCTGATAGAGTTAATTTTCTTCTTACTATCTAGTACAGTGCTTTGTTTTGGATTTAATATGAGAATAATGTTGATAACACACTGATGTTTTAGTTGTTGCCAAGTAGTGCTTACCCTGAGTCAAGGACTTTCCAGTTTCCCATGCTCTGCCAGCCAACAGGTGCACAAGAAGCCAGGAGGGATCACAGCCAGGACAACTGACCCAAAGTGGCCAAAAGGACATTCCATACCGTAGAATGTCATGCTCGGTATATAAACTTGGGGCAGTTGGCTGGGAGCCACCGATCACTCCTCAGGGATGAGCTGGCATTGGCAGTGAGTAATTGTACTGTGCATCTTTCCTTAGGTTTTATTTCTCTCTCTCCCCTTTTCATTACATTAATAATATTATTAATAATATAAATACTAAATACAATATTTATTAGAATATTCTACTTTATGTCAATGATTAAACTGATCTTATTTCAACCCACAAGTTTTACTTCTTTCTGATTCTCCCTCCCATCCCACCAGAGATGGGGAGTGAGCATAGGCCTGCATGGTAATTAGTTGCCAGCTGGGGTTAAACCATGGTAGACTGTCACATTGCATTGTCTATTCAGAAACATCACAGAAAATGTACAGTTGCTGTGCATCTGCATAAAATACAGACAGCTCTTACTGAAATATTGTCAACCCAGGACAAAATGTTGCAACCATTTAAGAGAACAGAGAATTTTTTTAAAAACCCACCAGACTAGGCAAAGAAATTAAGGAAAAGATTATGTCCAACAGAAACTGGATGCTCTAAACAGGAGGGGGCAGCATGCTGCTTGGCATCAAAACCACAGTCTAGCAGGGCCCTGTTCTTTGTTCCTGTGAAAATACACTGGTCTTCAAGCTGCATCTTTTCCATTAGTTGAATTCTGCCATGTGCTACAAGCTAAGAGGCAGCAGAGAAAATATAAAATCTTAATCTGACTTCACTTTCTCTTCTTCTTCTCCTCTCTGCTGAATGCCATCATGGTACCTGGCTGGTCATCAAATGCACAAATTTCAGAATGCATAATTTTTGTCCCTGTTCCTGCCCAGTGGAAATTAGGGGATTTCCCTATTTTCAGATCCCATTTAGCTTGTGGGGTGTGAATGATGCTGGAGAGCTCATCTGTAAGAGAGTGGGTAGGTGTCTGGTGTGGTACTCTGCCCTTCAGCTCCCGCCTCCTGCAGCCATCTTCCCCTGGTTGCCATGCAGCCCAGGAACCCCTACTGCTGCCACTGCAGCCTGGCCCTGCATACTAATTGGCACATTTAATGACTTTCTCTTGCTCTCCTTCCCTTCTCCTTCTAAGCTGCTGTCTGGGAGCAGGAGAGCCTGGCTGCCATGGAAACCAAGCCTTGAAACGCCCTGAACTTCCAGCACCAGCCTTGGGAGAGGATTCCAGTGGTGAAGCTCAAAGAAGGGGATGCTGGAGGAGGTGTAAAGGTGGAGGAGTGGGAAGGTGTAAGGTTGACTGTGGCAGGAACAGGTCTGGGCTGTTCTGCCATGGCACTGCACAAGGTGAGTGTGTACTGGGCATAAGAAATCAGACATTTATGGGAAAAAGAGGTTAACCCTCTGTTACCGATCTTTTTCTTCCGAATGTTTCAAGTGTCTTTCTGCCCCTCTCTACCATCTACTTAATGTCTGGATCAAATACCCTGAATACATGCACATACCATGTCATCAAAGGGGTTTTTGACTCACACATTTCAAGGACTGTTTGTAGCCAGAAAAAGTGCTGATTTCAGTGAGCAAAAGGTTTGAGGGGGCCTCAGGCACAAGCTGCCAGAAGACAAACTGCTGTCTAGGCAATAAGGCTGTGATCCTGTGCCCAGCCTTTCAGTCCTGCCTCCCTTTCCCAGGCCAGCCACTGGACTGGAGTTGCATGAAAATGAAGCACTTGTGGCACTGTCTGTATGCGCTGATGCCTTTTCTGGGCTGGCATCTAGTTCAACTCCAGCTCTGTGTCCAAAAGCATTCTGGTCCCTTCTTCAGGCTGTGTGGCTGTGGGAATCGCACTTTTATCTTCAGTTCTGTCTGCTGAGGATTGCTGGCCATATAACGAGGGTAAGATGAGTGTACACTTCAATCTGAGCTAGCACCCAAATTTCAGCCTTCGAAATACATTGTCACTTGCACCCAGTCTTCTTGTAAGCTTTCAGGCCAGCAATGGAGAATGTCCTTGTGTGTTGTTTTTCTAAGCAAAGCTCCCTATGATATGATTTATTCATGAAGGGAGCCCTCAGAAGGTCAATAAAACTGGCGTGCTCCCAAAAACACACAAACAAAACAGGGAAGACCTCACTGGGTCAGCACTTTTCTGAAGACTAGATGGAGCTGTTTATATCTCAGGCAGACCCATGTGAGGGACATAAATGTTTCAGCTCTCCTTCGCTGTCCCAATCACTTGAACAACCAGTTTAATACTGAAAATTTACTTCAGATACAAGTGAAAACTTGCTAAGCCATGAAACGCTGCAGGGTTTTGAAGCTGACACCCAACAAAGGTACTACTTGGTATTCCTGTGAAACAGGGGGATCTACTGCAGCACAGGCTGAAGAGCACAGTGAGACAGGTCTTAGGCATGACAACAAAGGACAGCTCAACCAGCTTCCCACATATATACTTCCTCTTTAGCTAAGACCAGCAAAAGAAGACTTCTGCTTGGATTTTTTCTTTCAGGGACTTGCACCTGATTTTGCCATTGACTTGAAAAGGAAGAGGACTGCCCCATTATAAATTTCAATACGCTAGGTCTATCACGCGTGACCTGCTACTACAGCACAAATTGGTACATAAAAGTTGAAGAAGTGCAGAAGGAGTATTTGCAAGACATAAGAATGCCTAAACTAAGAGAGAAAACTGTTTTACAGGGCCATCCCTTTAATGCAACTTAAGAGTGATTTTATTTAATAGAAAGTAAGGTTTGAAACAGAAAATGTTAGAGGATTACAGGAAGGAAAATGTTTTTTCAAGCAAAGAGAGAAGCCGGTTAACATCACCAGGACTAAATGACATTCACCTGAATTTGAAGGTATGCAGGTGGGAAACTGCAGGTGTATGACTACCATTAAAAAGAGCAGCTATGTGAGAGAGCTGATGCATGGACAAAACCAGTCTGTCTGTATCCTGAGCAGAGTGTGAAAGAAAACCTTGTGTAGAAAGGGATCCCACTCTACCAGCCCAGTGGTGGTCCATAGGATGAATGTGAACAAAGGTGATACAGCAGACAAAGCATATGCGGATTTTCAAAACAGCTTTGATAAGGCTCTACATCAAAGGTTATTAAAAAAAAAAAACCTGCTGCAAAGGCCTTTTAATGGACTGAAGGCTAGTTAAAGGACAAGAAGCAGAAAGGAGGACAGGAGGACTTCAAGATGACTTCTCAGGACAGAGAGGAAGCACTAGTGGAGTCCCCAAAGGTCAGTGTTAGGATCAGCTACATTCAATGTCTTCAATGGCCCGAAGATGGGAAGGCATTGTCAATTAGTCCAAGTGACAGGGTCATACTAAGTTTTTGAAGAGGCTTTTTAAACTGAGAGAGCAGGCAGCAGATGAGCTTAATGCAGTTAACTAAGCGCATGATAAACAGGTGTAATAACTAGTAATCTATGTTTACACCCTGCACTGGCAGCTACAAATTGGGAAGGAGGTTTTGGAGCCATCTCCAACACCAGTAGATCAGCAAGAAACAGCTACCAGAAAAACCCAAGACACTGAGCATCACCACAACAAGTACCAACAACATGGCACAGGGCATAAGTCTACCACATTACAAAGCCATGGCCTTTATATGACTTTAGTGTGCACTGGTCTTCACAGCTTGAGGAGGATATAATGTAACTGGAGATGCACAGAATAGGAGAACTAAACTTAGGTTGAGGCTTACGAACTCATTAAAGTGATGCATAAACTGAGGTCAATCAGGAACAACCGCAGAATTGTTATTAACAAAGTCTCAAATACTGTAACAGGAGAATACTCAACAAAATTAGTAAGAAATAAATTCAGAACAGATGAAAGCACTTTTTTACATAATGAGTACTAGAATTCTGGAACTTGCTGCCACAGTTATGAATGTAGACAGTACTAGCAGGTGCAAACACAGATGGGACAAATCCATGAACTGGTTCATATACAGATAGTTACGGGAACTGTCAGGAATAAACCCTAACATCCCACATCCTGAGATCATAGATTCTGGCACAGCATAAGAAAATGCCCTCAAAAATGGCCAAAGATAGGGCAGATAGCTTACAAGCAAATGTGATTTACAATTAAAAACAGGCTCAGTCATTTCTTACAAAGGCTGGAGAGGCACATGCATATTGGGCTGTCTTGGGCAAGTCAGGAGAGTATCTGCCTAGTCAGAGAGAATTAGGTCAAAATGGAAAGCCCCATGTATCTATGAGATGTCTAATTTTGAAGATGGGCCCAGTTTGCACTTTGTTGCTTGTTTTTATGTACCATGTGTATTTTGCATCAGTGGGTTAAACCTTTCATTTGGTATGGTAACATAAAATCTCCCTTGCATGTTGAATTAAAACATAATGAAATGTTTGAAGATCTTTGGCATTTTACAAAAAGTCCTGAGGAGTTCAGCTTCTGAGTGGTCAACAACACTTACGTGTCATGGATAAAAGTAGAAGCATTTCTGAATATAATTCATCACTGCAACTGCTCACATGTTTACAACTGTATAATTTCTATATAAATATTTTTATATCACATATATGATGTATAAGGAGGTTTTTTTGCTCTGGGGTGAAAGATTCCACCACTATTAGGAATCTAAATACACATTATGGAAAACATTTTTAATTACAGGATCTAATAATGTTTTTCCACAGAATCTCTTTTTAATTCTGTACATTTGCTAGACTGTGTTCAGCAAATGAGGGAGCTGTTAAATATTACTTAATCTCACCAGTCGGTGTGTATGTGGCCACCTGGCTAACTCCTTCCACATCTAATTTTATCCAAACACAACAGTTCCCTGCAACGTATCAGAAATTACATTTGACCATGGAAGGTTCAAACTGCAGCACTGACACCTGGTTCCTCTTTTACCAGATTAACTAGGCTGTCCTGGAACTACTATACTAAAAGAATGTAGAATGGGTCAGCACTGGGACCAAGTACTGGCACAGCAGTTACTGCAAATCTGTTGCCTTTTTGCTGATTTTCAGAAGGACAGATGCTCATCCTACTTGTGGAATGCCCAGGAGGAGAATATACTGCCTTGATAGGAATACAATGGGAGAGTAGGAGGGAACACAGCTCAAGTTTCTCCAGATACTACTGTGGGAGCCAAGCCCTTCTCAGCAGTATGCTGGAGTGGCTTGGGTAGTCATGCAAGCTCAGCCTTAAGCAATGCAGCAGAGGAGGCTAGGGGAACCTTTTATATCAGGAAGTGTTTAGCAACCTACTCCCATACATCATCATCATAGAACGGTTATGTTTTAACAGGACCTTAAAGATCACGTAGTTCCAATCCCCTTGCCATGGGCAGGGACAATTTCCACTAGACCAGATTTCTCAAAGCCCCATCCAATCTGGCCTTGAACATTTCCAGGGATGGGGCATCCACAACTTCTCTGGGCAACCTGTTCCAGCGCCTCACCACCCACACAGTAAAGAATTTCTTCCTAATATCTAAATTAAACCTACCCTCTTTCACTTTAAAGACATTTCCCCTTATTCTATCACTACCTGTCCTTGTAAAAAGTCCCTCTCCAGTTCTCTTGTAGCCCCTTTAGTTACAGGGCCCCAGAGCTGGATGCAGCACTCCAGGTGGAGTTTCACAAAACTGGAAAAAAACAACAATACAGATTTAGTTATGCACACCTCCCCCCACTCTCCCAATGCCTGCCTTCCCCACCCCACTCTTTCATGCACATGAAAGAAACAATTTTAGCATTTACACATCAAAAATTATTGAAACCAAATGAGTATCTATGTCTTTTAATTTCAGGACCTTAATCTGACATACTGGAAACTTTAAAGATCAGGTTTTTTCCTACAAAGAAAGTGTTGAGGTGAAGGGCTGCAAATTGCAAGTTACAAGTTGAACACCAGAAAAACCTTGGAAGGACAAGTAAACTCATTGTTTTGTTTGCATTTCATGGGGGTGGGGGATTATTATAGTAATAATTATAATCTAACTTGCCTGTCCCCAGAAGTCTCCAGACTCCTTTTACATTCTGAGTAGTTGCTCTTTAAAAGGCACAGAATCATCCTATATAATTAAAATTACAGTTGCAGAGTGATAAGTCTCTGGGTTTTCAAGGTGGAGCAAAATTTCTACAGCCACCCTGAGACTTGTGTTTCCTGCTATTCAAGGCTCCCAATGCTTGCAATGAAGAGCAAGACCAAAAAAATGCACCCAGACACCTGCTAGAAATCAAATAAGTCATCTTGATGCTATTCAACAGGGTCCTAGCCTCAGCAATAGAAGAAAGAATGAACCATTAAGTGAACTTCAAGGCAACTTCCATTAGTCCCTTTCTAAGAGAATATTATTTTTTTTCTAGAAGTTGTGGGAGCTATTGGGAAGGTGGATTGAGAGAAAAATACCATTCACCTTTTGGGAACAACAGGTATAGGTTTGTTTTATTACATTTTCTGATGTTCCATCCATTAGAAAAATTAGCCTTTATCCATTTCCCCATCTCCACCATGCAAGATTGAGGAAGACTGCCTGACTGAGTGCCCTGTTTGTCATATCAGTGTTGGGTTGCTGGACTTCATCATCATATTGGGAATCTCCAGAACCTGAACAGACTTTTGGAAATTGAATGCTCCAGATTGGCTAAGGTTGTAATGACTTTGTGCTCTCTGCGAAAGAAGTTCGGAGCATGGCATATAATATACAATAATGAATGTGACGAATCTGCTATATATTAAAACTCCAGGGAGAACCCAGCATAATCTAGGGCGGAAGCCCCAGTGTTCCATTTTGCAGGTGAAGCTGTAGCTTTTTGACCTAAAGTGATCTTCCACCTCACCGAACCAGGGCCGCAATAAACCTTGTCACCAACAGAAGCCATTCATGTTCTGAGATGGGCACAGCTGAAAAGGTAAGTTTAATTGTCACCCATCTTGAAAAAACAACAACAACAAAAAAAAGAAAATGTGAAGAAAATAGAAAGCAGATACAGCTGGACCAGAAGCAGATCTATTTACATGTTTTCATCATTTAAGATCTTCTTCTGACTTTTACTAATAACAAATGCAGGATACAGGGAAACAAGGTCAAAGCAATATGTCCTTCAGCTATAGTCAAACAGAAGCATCTGTAGAACTGGAACCCAACCTGCCTGGAACATTGAGGGTTAAAGTCTAATTAAACCTAACCAAAATCAAGGGTGGGAAGACTGCATGAGGAATTAAAGAATAGGTTTTCCCTGTTCATAGACAAGATACAGTCAGGCCTGATTTTCTGTTGTTTGTGTACTTTTGTACACAGTTAGAAAAGATAAGAAGTTCCAAATAAGAGCTGCAGAACTATTGGCAAGTATTTTCATAAATAAGAAATATTTATTTTCAAAACTTTTTCCTTGCCATGAAAAATCAGCCCCTGTGAACTGTCTTTCATAAATACTAGAAACTCTACTTTGAATATTCTGTGCAAACTAAAGATGGAGTAAATTGATCTAGACAAAATAAAATATTTATGCTTCAAATTGCTACTCATGCTGGTGCTCTGATGAACCAAATACTTCTGACACTATCAGGAGTTTTGGTTCTTTATATGCTTCAAGGTACCTGCTAAGAATTACACGGGGCACACTGAGTCCTGTGGTCCTCTTGCACCCTATCACACAATTCATCTACATCAAATCATTCTCTCCATAAATTGGACAGTACCACCTTAAAACAAGACAATTTTCTTCCCAGTTCACAGGCTGTCAAAGAACTTCATTCCTCTGAGAGAAATCTTTTCTCGTCTCTTGCTTAAATTCTTTCATCCCTAATGTTTATTTTATTCTTTTGATGCACTCATATAGCACAGTTCCTTTAGACTATCCTTCATCAAAGATCTTAATCAGGAATGCCCTTGTACTGTGCTTTGGTTTGGAGAAGTATTCTGTCTACTCTGCAACCAGGGGAAAAAAAATGCTTGTTTTTCAGCTGGATTGTTTAATTAACAAAGTTATTTCAGTGGCTGCAGAAACACCTGTGCTGGTGCAGAAAAGCAGATGATGCAGATAGCTGTCAAGACCAACAGGAGAGCAAGACCTCTACTTTAGGCATCAGGGCTGGTTCATGCTACTTGAAGTGTTCACTGACCTCTTTGTCTCCAGTCATAAAACAGGCTGTCATTGTACCTGACTCCTTGAGGATCTCCTCTCTATACCTGCTCCGGGTTTAGCTTTCACATGTTCTTAGTCTCATTGGCCACTTTGCCTATATCTTCATATTTATCACTCTCCTTTCAAGACCTGATGTTAAGAATAAATTTTGCTTCCAGGCCAAACTAACTGTCCTTCCCACATCATCATGTCTGTAGTGGCAATACTTTCCTTCTCATACTCTTGACATTTAAACAGTCAAGAGACTGTTAATATAAACTTCTCTTGTTTATTTTAGTATTCTTTTCAAAGTCAATCTCAAATGCTTTTTGGCACTTTTCACTCTATCCCTGTTTGTCCATTAGCCTTTCCTTCTTCAGTGTTTTTGCTTACTTCAGGTGTCCTTTATGAGGTAAAAACACCAATAGTTTTGCAACCTATTGCTACTCACTTTCTCCTGTGATTTAGGGATACAACTTCCATCTACTTTCTGCACCTCTATTTAAAGAAAATCCACATTTCCTCAATTCTTAAGCTGATCCTAAGAACTAATTCTCTCTATTTTTCAGAGTAGAAAGGCTGAAAAAGCAGCAGCAGAAGGTCAATAAGAAAAGAGGTACTCCCAAAATTTTGAGTTCTCAATTATTTTAAAGCCAGGAATTCTGAGAATATCAGGCAGCTTTTAAATCCATCAATACCCCTGTGAACTGTACTTACAATGGGAAGTTATTCAACTACAGGTGCAGACTAATTGCCTGTTTATGTAATCCAAAGGCTAAACAGATCCAGACCTATTCCTTTTTTGTTTTCTATTTTTCCTGTCTTTCATCTTAAAGAAATCTATTAAGATGTAAAATACTGCCAGATTAAAAAGAATAACTAAGGAAAGAGGCATTATTTACATATCTTTTTTTTCTGATTGTGCTAATTAACATAATGCTGTTTTCCATATCCCTAATGACATAACTGAGTACATATAAACACAAGCTACCTTTAAGGCAGCTAGCTTAGACTTTATGAGTAGCACAAAGAAGTGTATGCCCAGAAAAGGAATATTCATCCTGCTTCTGAATAGCTTTGCAGTCTACATCAAGCTCATGTCACAGTTTTTGAGCTAGCAGTGTCTGCAGACGAGACATACCTTCAGTCTCACAATCTACAGTGAATTTGTATAAACCTCTCTCACTCACTCATTTCTATTTTCTAGTTTATGCCATTTTAGCTCTGCTTAAATCTGTATTTGAAGAGCTTTTTACTGTGTGTAGTATACAGCATAGCTTTCAGTTTTCTCCTTTTTTATTTAGTGTTTTATTCTAACTAGAGTTAGTTGATCGAGATGGGAAACAAGGTTAATACTGAATATGTGGGCATATGCAAGCTCCAAACCCACCATTTAGTCTAGTCCATCCACATTGTGATGGAAACATTTGTTGGTCAAAAATGTATGTTGTTCCAAACATGACTGGTGTAAAAAATCATAATTGTATGTGTCTATGCAGTCAGACAGAATTCTGCAAGATGGATTTTTAATTACTTTCAACAGAATTCCCTTTGCAGAAAATGGCAATCTTGGGCCTACATATCTTAAACAATATCTAAGCTCTATTTTGCAGATTCAAGTAGTATCTATTTGTTTTCTGCTGAGAGACACATTCCACTCACTCTGTATTGGCACTGACCTTTACGGTAACACAGTTATGCTTTTCCCACACAAGTATGCAACATTAGATTCTTTTCTCTAAAAATGACTGATATGGCATGAGAGAATATTTGAGGATACTCATGGAGCATGGAAAAGTCATGCAACTGAAAACTTCAAAATTCCCTTTTTCAATGGTGCTTTCAATCTAGAAGACAAGACGAGATGTGCTGCCAAAATTATGACATATTTAGCTCTATTTTGATCTCTCTTTTTTCTCTGTGTCTTGCTTTGCTAAAGATGATTTAAAACTCTGCTTCTTGAATCCAGAAAACAAACAGCTCATGCTTAGGACAGTCTGCCAAGAATGCAGGCCCTGCCCTTTGCTTAGCTCATAAGCAAGAAAAATGTCCTACATGGACAGTGCCAGCCAGAATGCTGCACTAAATCTCACCATCAGAAAATAACACTGAGAGCATAATCAGCTGCAAAAGGACTGGATACAGAGCAGTAATTTGCAAAGAGCCCAGCCTATCAGTTAGCCTTTCAAAGAGACTTGGTGGTGACAGGCATCTGGTAAATCAATCTGGAAAGAATCCATATTCTCCAGATAACATCACAATTTTATTTTGTGGGCCTGGGCTGAGGCAGTATGAGGAACGTAGATGACAAAAACATTAGGACGAATGATTTGTAATCATCATGACTGTCATTCATTTATCTCTTTCCCCCCTCGCCCCCCCGTAATATTTATACTGGCTCTGAAATAATTGCAACACTGATGTGTTATTGAAGAATATCTGACAACATATTGAATGAACAGTTCTTTATCTTCTTAAAATTCTACCAGGAAAAAAAAAAAGAAAAAGAGAAAGAAAACAAGAGTGATTTCTTCACTCTGATAAAATTTCTTCCTTTCTGTGTACACCATTTAATCCAGATTTACACAGACATAATCTTGCAGGTGATAAAATAATCTGAAGGACTTTCTTCACACACGTCTTGGAAGGGACTACATGAAGTTATAAAATAATTCCTTAAGGGAGGCTCAGATTGCATCACATTTTGCATATCAGTTGAACCACCCATCAGCTTATGTTTCCAGCAAAACATTGGTTTGCGTCATGCTGTGGTATGCAAGGATTGGATCACAGCTGATGCGATTTTTTTTTCCCCATCCCTTGGATTCAGCAGTGAACACAGAAGTGAAATCAGATATAAAGCCATTACAAATCTGCAATTAATAAAATTAAAAATCCTGGTTCAGTGATATCAATGCCAGTTTGCTCATTGGTCTCGAAGGTAGACAAGTTTACATTCTTTAACTATGTACCAGTGTCTTTCTGTCTTCTATAAAAATTGTACAGGCTACAAAACTAACTGCTTAGGTCACAGTAATTTTCAACAGCAAAAGAAAAACCAGTATTTTGTGCTTTACAGCATTGCAGTCTCAAGGTTCCTTTATCTCTAAATGGCTTTTAATCTGTTTTATTTTCATTATGTACTCCTTTATTACAAAGGATTATTATTTTTTGTAGATACAGATCTGCAGCCTTTTACACTATTATCAATAGTCTTGTACCATAGCTCTTCCTTACGGTCCTGGCTTCTAAACATGTGATTATGTGAATAATTGAAATTACATTAATTTTAAAATGTTCACTTCTGGAACTTGCAGTTATACAGAAAACCTTGAATGCAGCTATGTGGAACAGAGGACTACATAGGGTTTGATGAGGCCCAAGTATCATGGGTGCATATAATTTAAACTTCTTCCACCTCTACCTTTAAAGTAGTTGGGTTTCTTTGTGCTCTGTTCCTTTCACTACAAAATTCTCTCATACACTCTCAGTCATGCCAGTGTATATTTATTTGTTCCTGAGGCAGCAATGACCTTTTGCTTGAATTGTTCTTTAGCTTCTTGGTTATATATACATCTTGCCCTATTATATTTCTTGTTCACAACTCTTGCCATTAGCAACATTGCCCAGGAAAGCAAAGATACCTTATAGAATCCAGCAATTATTTGCTTGTTTAAGTGTAAGAATTTAAGCTTCCTCTGAGTTAGCCAGTAGGGAAGTGATTAAAGTAAGGATTTATTTCAGTAATTAGAGCAACCAATGTTGTAGCATTTCCGCATGGAAAAAATGGCACCACATGTATTTTCTGGAATGTTGCTGGAAATGTTTTGGTCTGAACTTGCTACATCAGCAAGGATACAGATTCTTGAAAATCACTTATTAGTTGCTTCTCTGACTCAACTCTGAATAGGGTGGTTTAGACAAACTCCTCAGATTAATCTCAGAAAGCACTCTTACTTCCAGAGTTCCTCGGCACATAATGCATACAGGAATGTAGCACTGTAAACAAAACCAAATTCAAACAGTCTTTCCTCAAAATTGTCACAAAGGAAAAAATGCCACAGCAAATTAAAAGCATGATGATTACATGTCAAATCAAGAGTTAAAATACCAACTAAAAACTAACTACATTGATCAGCAAAGACAGGAAATGTAACTTCAATTAAGTTCAAGTGTTTTCATAGGTGTTAAAGTGCGGCTTGTCTACTCACTGTTAAACTTCTGACCAATGTAAATACATGTTGGGAAATTGCTTGAAAACCGACAATATAAATTTTATATCTCTCCAGAGGACTACACAAATATAAGACTAAATAAGGTAATAGTTTTAAAACTTCATTTGCATCACCTCTATCTGAGCACTTCAATGGGTCTGACTCTGCTCCCAGTCCAAACATCTAAGACACCACTGTGGCAATATAAACTCCTGGATGAAATAAAGTGGAAGAGAAGTAGGAACTGACTGTAAATCAAATTTAATGCAAGCTCATCAAATCCTCAAGGACTGGACAGCAGTGTTACAAGGATACTTTTAAGGGGCAAATAAATTGTAACTTTTCAAAGCAAATTCAAGAGTAGGCTAGGTATTTTTCTTGAAAGCATTTCAGTACACTGGGAAGAATGAAGTTACTTCCCACTCATGTGGCTTTTCTTTTGCAGGTTTGTTTATCTACCTGAAGGAGACAGAAGCATTTGAGTCACCACAATCTTCCTAACTCTTTTATACCTGTCCTTGGTATCAGATGAACATTCCCTCATGCACCTTAAATCAGGCCTTCATCTCTTCTGAAAGTTAGGCCACAGCAAGAAGCTTGACAGATTTTATAGGTGTTTTGGCTCCATTTTATGTAAGACTAGATTAACACAAAACCAAGTTACCTCTGAATTCTAATTACAAAGTTCCTGAAACTGCAAGATGCAGTATCAATTAATTTCTGGGGCCCTCACCTTTTGGGAAGCTTGGAGAGCTGTTCCTGACAACTTGTCAAAAACTTTGTTACTGTTCATCATGTCTGGTATTGAAAAGACTTCACAAAGGTATATGTGTTACAGCTACATAGGTAATCTAAAGCATAGGTTCTCTGTCTCTGTGTTCTCTGTCACTGACGCCAATAGCCTCAGATGGACCCAAGTCTTTCCTTTCCTTCCACTCCATGCTGTCCCATGAGGCAGACAAAGGACTCAGAGGACAGTGAACATCTAAATGATCTGCAGTATCAAACAGGGCTTCCCCATTTTCATCACCACCAGCAGCTCTTTGCTATGCACACATGAATTTACACAGCCAGGTTTGTAGGCTCTGCTCTAGTCCTAGCTGGTGCTGTCCTCTCATCTTCTTCATCTGTTCTGTTACACATACCACTTCATAGTCTAATTGTGTAGTTCTTCCTTCCCATGCTTCCTGAGTTCTGTGAGTCAAAAGAGTGCCATTGTTCTTCAGGCCCAGGGTAAAAAATGCATATTTAGGAAAACTGCCTAGCAACTGCTTCCCTAGTGTAAGGAGAGAGGCCATTTGCATAAGAAAACCTTCCAGCTGGAAGCCTGCAAAGACTCTGCTGGGAGCTGATTCTGTGACCAGACATCAAAGGAGTCCAGTTTAAGTCCTGCTCCCGCTGGGTGGCTTTTCTTCGCTGTTCCCATCATCAGTGGGGCAGTGGCACGGCTGCACAGAGAGCACGAGTACTCTGCACAGAGGCCAAGAGCTGCCGCTCAGGTTTCTGACTGTGGTCCCAGAGATCTTTTACTCATTTTATTCCCACATCATCTTTTCCTCACACTGTGCACATCACACATCAAACAGTCAACAGTTTCAGCTGCTAACCTTTGGAGTTCCGTAATTTGCTTTCCAGATTTCCTGACAAAAGTGACATTCTGTTGCACTACAGTATAGTATCTCCAGTATTCACACATGGTTCCTCTCCATAATTACTAAAAGGCATTATTAGTCTGCACAAAGGCCCAAGAAGAAAAAACTACAGAAATTAATTCATCATTTCTCTTGCCTGGTCTGTAGAAAAAGCTGCCCATAAACTTTTCAGTTTCTAAAGCCCTGGACAAAACATTGACTCTAGTAAACTCAATGGAAATAGCCTCTACCAATACTCCAAGTACAATCCAGCAAATTGTGAACAGGGATGGGATTGAGGACATGGCTCTCTTATGTGCTAATCATCAAACAACGGATAAATCGTTTCAGCACCTGCAAAAAATAGCTTTGTAGAGCTGTGCTGCTACTTAATGGAATGGGGTGATTACGATCAGAGTTCTGCAAAGCTCTCCAAATTGCAGTTCCTAAGGCTAATTTCAATGTGTGAATCACTGCTTTCCTGCAATTTATATCCATATGTGTGGTTATTTTTGAGAATGATTCAGTTTTGTATGTATAATTTTAAAAGGACTTTTAAAGTTAATGAACATCTGTGCTAAGAGCCTCTCAACAGAAAAGCTTGTGTCAGCCACTGGTGATGCTGACTGTGCAAACTTCCTCTTATCCTATAGGCATACATGTGGATCCTAAGGCTCTTATCAGCTGCATACTGCAGGAGTAACCCAGCTGAAAACCACACCATTAAAATGCTTTGACAATCGTGTGGGAAACCCAAAATTTCCATGAATTTGAAAACTCTAATATCTGTTTTATAACCAAAACAGGACCAATCAGTAAATTTGCAATGCTTTTAGCAGAAGCAAACAGAGGGAAAAATTTCCATTTGAAAATTTTAAAACAATTTGATATTTTGGTTGGCATACATTCAACACTTTTAACTATAGTGTCGTTCAACAGGATTTCTGCATAACATATATTTCTAGGCACTGCCTTCTGGCTTGAACTTTTTTTCTCAAGATGAACCTATATCTTGACATCCTGCATGAGAGCTACGTTGGTATAAATCTAATGGGGGTAGATTTACAAAGGAATAATTAGACACTGAAATTCAATGGGTAATCAAGTAACTGGTCCCAGAGCAAGATCACTCTTCTTTAGATTGTCTTTTAATCAGCTTCATTTTTCAACCTCGTTATTACAGGTTTTTGTTTCTGCCCTCTTTACACTCTTTGATCTCACAGACTGAAGGAGAATATACACCAGAAGCCATGAAACTGTCTTCCCGTTTGCATATTTCCTGGGAAAGGGGCCTTAAATCTGGCAAAGTGAAGTATGTCACAACCTCCCAGTTAAAAATCTCACTTTCTGTATTACCGACCTGTCATTAATCCTGCAAGAAGGATGTTAATAAGAACTCACTGTTAAATACCGCATACTACACATGTTGGACATCTGATGTTCCTTCTCCTAACAGTAACATGGAAAACTTTCTTGTACTCCCCTCTCAGGATCTGTCTCAGTGAAAACAGATGGAAACGGAAGTGTAAGTAGGACCAATGATCCTGGTGTGAAGATGATGAGAAAACTTCACTTAGGAGGTGACTACATCTACAGCTGTGCTAAAAAAGATGGAACTGTACTTCCTTGAGACAAAGCTGAAATTGGGTTTTCTGTGAAGACCTGAGCAGGTTAGACAACTGCAATTCCAGATAAAACACCAGCAGTCAAGATTGTGTAAGTAAAAGCTGGGGAAAGAGCATGCCTCCTACATGCCACAGAATATACTCTGGCATGGGCAAGTAGTAACAGGTATCAAGCCATGGGGCTAATCCTTTTTCATCAGGATAATGCCATGTCCTGGTGCATACAAGTTTCTAAATGATGACATTGTGGTGACCTTTAGGAAGCCCTCTAAAAATCATTAGGCCTAATTCTTCTTGTGATTACGTTACTTAAACTTCAGAGCTACTGCACTGACTTTAAGGCAGTTGGTTTGGATTTACATCTCTCAAGCTGGCCTATTATTTCCTGTATTGTTTCCAGTTGCATGAAATCATCTGTGCACGTCCTCCAGGGCTGCTGGAACCCTCTGTCCTCCCCAGCACTACACATGATGCAATGAGCCTCTGATGGAGGAGGAAAGCTGAGAAGTCCATGTAGGGAAGCAGATAATTTCCTTTAGAGCAATGGATGCAAAAATAGCAGCTAATAAAAAGCCTTCAAACTGTGCCTTCAAACTGTGACAATTCAATACACACACCTACAAGGATGCCTTGACAAGCTGCTTGACTTCCCAGTAACTCTTTCTTGTTTTCTTTAGTGTAGCCTCCTCCAAACTCCCATACAAAGGTATTCATCTCTGCAGTGACAGCTGAGACCTGCAGGTGTTTGCTGCTATTGCCCTTTCAGAATAGACAGTTGTTCCTCACTGTAAACATTTGTACCATGGTGTTTGCCTGGCTAGTTACAGCCCAAATAATGATAAACCAGCCTTTTGTTTTTTTAGCCCCTTGCTGTCATGCATTAATTCTCTTTGCAAATAGACATTTGGTACTGGAAATAGCTTAAGCGAGACCACTCTCTGATGATTATTTTACTAGCCCTACCTTTTAGAAAATGTTTCATATAGAGTATCACCAGAAAAGTGTATTATGCAGTTGCCAGAAATACAGCACTCTACAATATTAGGTTCACACATGAAGAAAGGGCTATGGCTAGTCGGCAAGATGCTCTTTGCAATTCACTCCCCTAATACTAATGTTATTTCACTGTTCTTCAAACTGCTACTCTGACCTTGATAAGAAACAGCAAAGATCAGAATCAGAACTGTCAGCTGAGGACTCTAACACTCACAAGCATCAAAATGGTTTCTCAAAAGGGGTTTTGATCTTTTTTATGCAGCAAGAAGGTCCAGAATCTATGAATTTTTAAAATTGTCCTGGAATAGTAAATTGTGTAACCCTTAGTTTATCTGGAAGTCTATCTGGGAGGCTAAGGAGTGCAAAAACTTCTTCTTTCAGTTTTGACTGAAAATATATGGTAACTCTATGTTTTAAAAGACATCTTTCCCCAAAATACTCATTTAACATTAACATTAAACAGAAATTATCAGGAAAACATTAAGAAAAAAAGCTACAAAAATTTAGGAAACTTTCTTACAAACATCTCCCCCTCCCTCAGCTGTTTACTTTTTGGTACCATGATTCTGTTTTTTTATTTCCTTACTCATCACCAAACTGGACAAGACCTGAATTTTAATTTAAAGAAAAAAAAAAAGCACTCCCCAAAGAAGCTAAACATAAAGGAGAAACAACAGTCTTTCTCAATCACTAGAGGTACAAAATGTGCCAGTATGAACTGCAAAGTCATTTACTGAGGGACTGAAACCAAAAAGTTTTTTTAAAAAAAGGATGTTCTTCATTTGGAAGGAATGGAAGATGAGAGAGGCCCAAGGCACTGCTTGACAATACAGTGACCATGTGCCAATGACACAGCCTATGCAAGTCTATGATGTACTGCGCAGCATGTTTTCATTAGAGGCTGAGAAGTACCTCTAATCCAAGAATGGGCAAAATCTGATTTGGAAAATACTATTTACAGTTCAGGTGATGTCTGTAGCAGGAAGAGACACCAAAACTGCTCTTTCACACACTGAAAGTCATTGGAGAAGGCTACTGTGAAGAGAAGAAAAATGAAGAAACTTTTTTTCCTGACAGTGTGCCTTCTTTAACCCTCTAAAACAGTCTGATAGGGACAGGAATACTTTCTCTAAATACACTTGTGATTTAAGGGCTATAAAGGGAGGAGAATAATGTGATCAAGTAGGTGTATATTGGTCATGAGTTAATTCAGATTGCTGATTTAAAAAAAAAATGCATCTGTTAGGACAGAGAGACTGTGGTACAGCTGTCTGGGGAAAAATGCTGGCAGCAGGATCCTACTTATTTGCAGCATCCACTTTGGCAGAAGCGGCTGTATGACAGGACAGGAGTAATGCAGGAGTTAGAAATCCAGACTTCCGAGACACAAGACTGATGCTATCCAATTTTGTGGTATACCTGAGAGACATTTGAGAAGAACCCTGTCAGTGTTTTGCAGGCTGCTCCTTATTCATTTATTTAACTAAAGTCTTTCTTCAGGACTTGCACAGGTTACCTGCCTTTTTGTTTTCCCTCTTGTTATATGATTAGGCTCTGGGTCAGCTTCAGTTTCCACTCTGCTCTAAGGCACTGAGGACAGGTGACACAGCCAGATGTGCTCTGAGGGGCATCACCAAATTCCAGTTATGCCACTGGCTGGTGCAGCTGGCTTGGGCCCACCTAATGTTATACAGTTTGCCAGCTCAGCAGGTAATTTTCAGAGGAAAGACTGATGGGGATTGCTGTCACCTCCTGCTGTGCGTCAGGTGCGACTGACTTCCTGTGCTGGTTTAAAGGTAAACCGGCAGGGGAAATGAACCCAACTCAAAAGAGAGATTATAAGTCAGAATAACAATTTAATAAAATAATACGATAAGTATGATTATACCAACAAACAATTGGTTTTAACCCACAAAACCCAAATGTATAACCCAGCACCCTGGGGCACGAACACGAATGGTGTTTGTTGGGCCCCCTGAGTCCAAAGTAAAAGAAGAGGGGAAAACCTGTTGGTGAGAGTGCTGTTGCAGTCTGGTCAAGAGTGGTGATTGCAGTCCGGTCGAGGGTGGTGGTTGCAGGCTGGTTGAAAAGTGATGGTTGCAGTCCAGTCGAGAGTGGTGGTCTGCAGTCTGGTTGAGAGTGGTGGTCTGCAGTCTTCCTCTGGATCACACAAGTGGTTAAAAAAGCTCCAAGATTATATATATCCTCCAGTCCAGGCAGGAATGCCCAGTACTTCCCTCAGGGCGGGGAGTTCCACAATGGGTGTGAGGACAGGAGCATCCTCCTACCTCACAGGCCTCTTAACACCTAGTTTATAGCCTGAGGAGTCAGGCTGCTCTGGGCAGAGGGTGTAAATGCTCTATTGATAACAGTTTCTGGGAAATGGCATGGAAGGCTATAGAATACACAGGTTTGGGTTACACCCATACAGTGATGAACTGGTCCCAGCTGTTCTAACTGGGACACTTCCTAAAATCTCTCAGGAATTTTTGCCAAGCATAGTTTCTCTTTAGGGGCTTAGGACACTGTTGACACTCTTGACATCTTCTCTTTTTCCCTGGCAGACTGAAATTTTTATGGGTTTGGTGCCTTACATAGAAGGGGTTAAAGTACTGGTGAGTGTTGGGGTTTTTCCTGTAACATGATGAGGTCTCAGGTTCTTATTGCTCCTATCCTTAACTCCTATTGCATGGCTTCCTGCAAGAGTGAAAGGCTTAGGCTCAGTAACCTATACCTCTTCTTCCAATCTGAAGATAATGAATATATCCAATTCGCTCTCCTTAAATAGCAAAGCATGGTACAAAATATGTAGAAGACTTTAAAGAGAAATGGGGTCATTTATACTTTATCCTCAGAACTTTATACTGAACTGCATCCTCTTGGTCTTCTGCCTCATCTGTGCCAGAAGTGGAGGAAACTAATTTCAAGAAGGACCCCAGAAACCATAGGCCTGTTAGTCTCACCTCAGTGTCAGGTAAAGTTATGAAGAATATTATTCTAAAAGTATTGAAAGATGCCTTAAAGACAACGCAGTCTTTGGTCACAGCCAGCATGGCTTCATGAGACGAAAATCCTGCTTATCAAATTTCCTTTTATGACAAGGCTACCCACCTGGTTGATCAAGGAAAGTCAGTTGATATAATCTTTTTGGATTTCAGTAAAGCTTTCAATACTGTCTCTCCCAGGATACTTCTTGACAAAATGTCCAGCACACAGCTGGATAAACACATCATGTGGTAGGAGAGCAATTGGCTCATGGGTCAAGCACAGAGGGTAACAGTGAATGGCGTAACATCAGACTGGTGACCTGTCACTAGTGGGGTTCCACAGGACTCCATCTTAGGCCCAGTGCTCTTCCATATCTTCATAAATGACTTGGATGCAGGACTGGAAGGGATACTAAGCAAGTTTGCAGATGACACAAAACTCGAAGGAGCTGTTGACTCCCTCAAAGGCAGGGAGGCCCTGCAGAGACCTCGACAAATGAGAGGACTGGGCAATCACCAACCAGATGGAAAGTGCTGGATTCTGCACCTGGGATGGGGCAACCCTGGAAGTACCTACAAACTGGAGTTCTGGTCGATGGCAAGTTGAATATGAGTCAGCAGTGCCCTGGCAGCCAGGAGGGCCAACCGTGTCCTGGGGGGCATCAGGCACAGCATCGCCAACCGGTCAAGGGAGGGGATTATCCCTCTCTGCTCTGCACTGGTGCAGCCTCACCTGGAATATTGTGTGCAGTTTTGGGCACCACAATAGAAGAGAGATTTTAGGCTCTTAGAGAGTATCCAAAGCAGGGCAACAAAGATGGTGAAGGGCCTTAAGGGTAAGTCATGTGAGGAGCGGCTGAGGTCACTTGGTGTGTTCAGCTTGGAGAAGAGGAGACTGAGGGGAGACCTCATTGCAGTCTACAACTTCCTTGTGAGGGGAAGAGGAGGGGCAGGCACTGATCTCTTCCCTGTGGTGATCAGGGACAGGACCCAAGGGAATGGCCTGAAGTTGTGTCAGGGGAGGTTTAGGTTGGATATTAGAAAAAGGTTCTCCACCCAGAGGGTGGTTGGGCGCTGGAACAGGCTCCTCGGGGAAGTGGTCACAGCATCGAGCCTGGCAGAGTTCAAGAAGTGTTTGGATGATACTCTCAGGCACACACTGTGACTGTTGGGGTTGGACCTGTGCAGGGCTAAGAGTTGGACTTGATGATCCTTTTGTGTCCCTTCCAACTCGGCATATTCTGTGACTCTGTAAATTGTGAACCTCCCTGCTGTTTAGGGCAAAGTAGGCCTAAAGGAAGATGGAAACATCACTAACAGGCCCAGCCTTTTGACAGAGTTTTGAGTGATTTGTACCAGCAGAGGAAGGGATTCCTTATTTTCTCCACTGTTCCTTGTGCTGTTGCATAAAGGCAAGTAGGTTATACAATAACTAAATAGGGATTACACAACTGAGTTCCATAAATCTAAATCAGAAACAGAGTCCCTATCCTGCACTGGACAAACAAAAACGTGGACGGGTGAAATTCTGGTCCTAATGAAGTTAATGGCAAAGTT